AAGAAAGAAAGAAAGAAAGAAAGAAAGAAAGAAAGAAAGAAAGAAAGAAAGAAAGAAAGAAAGAAAGGAAAAGAAAAGAAAGGGACTGGGAACTGAAGCACATTACACCTAATAGCCCTCTTTGGGGATCTTTGTTTCCACTCACACAACCCTGGGCTCACTGAATTTCTGAGATGCTAATCCCTGAGAGGCTCCCTATTACCATGGGGGAACCAGGGTCATGATTCTGGTAAACTGGACACTTAATCTACTTCTGAACRATTTCAGGGTTTCATTCACTGAAGCAGTAGAGAGAGGAGTTGTTATACCCACTGGAGCAACAGATTCTGGAGAACTGTGATTAGAAGGCAGGGATCACTCAGCCACCTTTTTAGGTGCCTTTGGTCAATAATGGGACTGGTGAAGAATCACCAAAGACATGGTGCCTGCCCTATGTCTTGACTTCAGTGGTGGTTATACGGACATGGACATGTCAATCCTTGATATCAAGACAAAGGGTGCAGCCAGGCATGGTGATGCATGTCTGTAGTTCCAGCTACTTGGGAGGCTGAGGCAGGAGGATCTCTTGAGCCCAGGAGTTCAAGGGTAGCCTGGGCAACATAGTGAGTTATCAGCTCAGGAAAACGATATAGGACAACTCTAGCACTTCAGCTGAACTCCTGGTGCTCCTGGCGAACCAATCCCCACCAGAGTCATATAGTATATACTCTTATGTCTGGTTTCTTTCACTCAGTATCAAACCTTGAGACTCATCCACATTGTGGTCTGTGTATTTCTTTTATTTTTCTTTTTTTGTATGGGGAATCGAATGCAGGAGTGCTTTACTACTGAGCCACATCCCCAGTCCTTTTTATTTTTTTATTTAGAGAGAGGTTTTTTTGTTTTGTTTTGTTTTGTTTTTTGCTAAATTGCTTAGGGCCTCACTAAGTTGCTGAAGCCGGCCTCAAACTTGTGATCCTCCTGCCTCAGCCTCCTGAGTTGCTGGGATTACAGGTGTGCACCACCAAGTCCAGCTTGTTGTCCATTTCTGTTCAGTACTGTTTTGAATGAACATACCACAATTTATTTATTTGTTTTTCCCATTGTAGATAAATGATTAGGTTACTTCCAGTTTGTGATTATTATGAATAAAAGAGTTATGAACTCAGGGACACTCGACCACTGAGCCACATCCCTGGTCTATTTTATTTAGAGACACTGAGTTGCTGAGGCCGACTTTGAACTCTCATCCTCCAGCCTCAGCCTCCTGAGCTGCTGGGATTACAGGCGTGTGCCCCCAGACTCAGCGTTTTATTCACTTTTAAATTGCATTCCCTTGATGAATGTTAACAATGACCACATGTTTGGGTGCTCCTTTGCCCTTCTGAGGCCCTCTTCGGGGAAGTGCACGTGTTGAAGTATCTTGCCCAGTTAAAAAGTGAATTGCCACTGCACATGGTGGCGCACACCTACAATCTTAGCAGCTCCAAAGGCTGAGGCAGGAGGGTCTGAAGTTCAAAGTCAGCCTTAGCAACTTAGTGAGACCCTGACTCTAAATAAAATATAAAAAGGACTGGGGATGTGGCTCAGTGGAAGCACCTCTGGGTTTAATAGCCTGTACCAAAAAAAAAAAAAAAAAAATTGCCATCCCATTCATCCATTTGTCCTGCCAGTTAATAAGTACAAAACTGTGATAAAAGTCCAGTGGAATGTATCATGCATTTCTCATCAAAGAAATTCTGTGAACTGGGGTCAGCTTAGATATATACTTAGAACAACAGCTCAAAAAAATATTCTTATTTTTCCATACCATTTTTGTATAGGTCTTTTGGTTTAAAAAAAAAATGCACTTTTTTCTTCAGAATACATGTCACTCCTCAATATCTGTGGGGGACTGGTTCCAGGAACTGCCCTCCCCTCCTGCCCAAGGTACCAAAATCCACAGAAGCTCAAGTCCCTTATATAAAATGGTGGGATATTTGCATATAATCTGAGCATCCTTCTATTTTGATCTTTCTCCGATTACTTATTATACCTAATACAGTGTAAGCAGTTGTTGCACTGCATTATTTAGAGATAATGATAAGATACAGATGCAATTTCTCCCAAAATATTTTCAACCTGCAGTTGGTTGAATCCGAGGATTCGGAGGGCAGAATGTACCTAGACTCCATAAGGCTGAGTCACAGGGAATGAGTTCAGCAACTTCAGCAGATACTGCCAAATAGTTTTCCAAAGTAGTTGTAAATTCCTGCACCTTCATCCACAGCCGTATGAGAGTTCCAACTGTTTTACAGTGTTGCCCACAAGTGGTATTTGTTACAGTTTGGATGGGAGATGCCCCCGAAAGCCACGTGAGACAATGCAAGGTTTGTAGGAAAAATGGCTAGGTTATAGCCTTAACCCAATCAGTGAATTAATCCCTGATGGGATTCATTGAGTGTTGGGTGGGATGTGGCTGGAGGAAGTGATTCATTGGGGGGTGTGGCTGTAGGTTTTATATCTGGAGGGTAGAACTTCTCTCTGTCTCTGCTTCCTGTTCACCTTGTGAGCTGCTTCCTTCTACCTTACCCTTCCACCATGATATTCAGCTTCAGATTGATCCCCAAGGAATGGACCTGGCCGTCTGGAGTGAGCCCTCTGAAACCGTAAGTCTCCAACTAAACTTTTCCTTCTCTAGAACTGTGCTGGTCACAGCAGAAAAAAAAAAAAAAAAAGTTGGGCTGGGGATGTGGCTCAAGCGGTAGAACGCTCGCCTGGCATGCGTGCGGCCCGGGTTCGATCCTCAGCACCACATACCAACAAAGATGTTGTGTCCGCCGAGAACTAAAAAATAAATAAAAAAATTCTCGCTCTCTCTTACTCTCTTAAAATATTAAAAATTCTCTCTCTCTCTCTCCTCTCACTCTCTCTTTAAAAAAAAAAAAAAGTTGACTGAAACGGTATTGTCAGTTGTTTAAATATTAACAATTTTGGAGATGTCTTCTTTTTCTCAGTAATTTTTTCCTGACCCTATGACTAAGATTAATTTTCCTAAGCACAAATTAGATCCTATTTCCTGCCTAACTATCTTCGGTGGCAGCCCATGGCTCTTGGGAGAAAGATCAATTTCTTGTTTAGTGGATCTTAACAATACCCACCCTGATCTGGTCATCTTCTGTTCCTCCAGCCAAATCTTGTCTCCTGTCTATCTTCCCACCCAAACCTGAGCGTGGAGTTCCTTAAACAGGTCACACTCCCATCCAGGACCTTTGCTATTTAAGTGCCTCCCTCACCTCTGGCTGGTACTCGGACTTCAGCTTTTTCTCCTGGAAGCTTTCTATGATGGCACAGCCCCTGGCCCGTAAGAATAGTTTAGGTGAGCCAGGATGGGGGGTGTACACCTGTAATCCCAGTGACATGGGATGCTGAGACAGGAAGTTCAAGGTCAGCCTCAGCAATTTAGCAGGACCCTCTCAAAATAAAAAAGAGTGGGGATGTGGCTCAGTGGTAARSSSCCCYKGRWTYMAWYCCMA